GCCCAGACTGGAGTGCAGTGGCCACTCCCGGCCATCGCAGCCTCGACCTGCCGGGCTCTGGCGATCCTTCCGCCTCAACCTTCCAAGTAGCTGGAACTACAGTCGCGCACTACCACACCCGGCTAATTTTTTTTTATTTGTTGTAGAGATGAGGTCTCGCCAAGTTGCCCAGGCGGGTCTCGAACCTGCGGGTTCAGGCAATCCGCTTACCTCAGCGTCCCAAAGCACGGGATTACAGGCTGAGCCACCAAGCCCGATTTGCTTTTTCTTTATGATACAAATCACCCAGCAGATACAGCCATGAATTTTCTTGGGAAATAATGCAGCACTTGTTTAAATACTCTATGGTTGTGCAATTTTTAAAATGTTTTCATCATGTCCAGTTGAAGCTACCACCAGCATTCCAGAAGCTTCCATCATATCACAAGTTCTAATGCTTGCCCTTCACTGAGACATTTCTTTGGACTCAAATGATGTGGAAGTAAAAACAGTTCTTTACACTTGGAGAGCCTTTTATCGTTTGTAAATCTCAGACTGTTTTATTTTACTGCCAGATCTCCATGTGGGTCTTCCTTCCTTTGGACACACCCTTCATTCTTGAATCCCTCTTAAATGCCGTCCCCTCTCCTGAAAAACTCTGCTAGCTCAATATTTGGCTCAGACATTATGTCTTATATGACTCCACTCCCAAGTTTTCCAGGCAAAGCCCTTTACTCCTTCAAAGAAGCTCACTCTGCATTCTGGTCTTCCTTTTGTTGGGGCACCTATTTCCACTGCACTATATGGTGATTTACGATTTATGGTTCCCTCTTTATCCCCTTTAAGGCCAACTCAAGAGTATAGGTCTGTGTTCACTATGGAGCTTCCTGCCTAGCAAGGTGCCTCACATAATTCAAACTTTCATAAGAAGATTGGAGAGGATGGATGGATGGATGGATGGATGGGTGCATGGATGGATGGATGGATGGATGGATGGATGATGGATGGATGGATGGATGGATGGATGGATGGATGGATGGATGAGTGGTTGGGTGTACAGACAGATGGATGAAAAACCAACAACTGTCCTAATCATTCTTAAATCAAAAGGGAGGATTCAGACTTAGAGAGGTTAGTGGAATGTGGGGTTGAGAAGAATAAATCATAAAATATTAAATTTAGTTCGTTTTTAATTTTAATTTTTTTTATAGTTTACTGCAATTTCTGGATGAAGCGTATTAAACTTTTTAATTTAGAAAATGTATTTTGTTAAATGAATAATGTGTATATATGAACAAATAAAGTTTCAGAGATGAAACTAAACTTGAACCAGTTCTAGAACAAAGGTCTTCTGACTCCTCACTCTATCATATGTTATCCTATTGCTAAGCTGACAACAGCTTTAAAATTGTATAGTTTTTTACCTTGAATATTTTAGTGATATTTTATAATAGATATATAGAAAGCATATAGTACTAATGACCGTTTTTCTCCTTTAGGACATTTGTAAAGCTCTGTGGTGCCATCGGATTGGAAGGAAATGTGAGACTAAATTTATGCCAGCAGCAGAAGGCACTGTGTGTGGTCACGACATGGTAAGTGGCTAATGCTGGGTAGAGCATCACATTCAGGTGTCAGTCCTTTGACGTATGTGTCTTTCCTTCTCTTGCCTTGGTATTTTAAGACCAGTATCTCTCATAATACAAGTGCGTACCTACACTCCTATCACAATACCCTGAGCTATGATGCACATGAGACATGGGGGTTCCTCCAGCCATCCTGCCTTCTTTACAGACATATGCTATTCTTCTTCGTAGCGTAGCTGTGACACTCGCTCAAAATACAAAGGGGACTACAAAGGGGACTCTTTTTCTCACTCTGTGAAAATAAAATTGATGAGCTTTCCGGAATTCATAGATACAGAAGTCACCTAACAGGTGATGATTGAAGTGATTTAATTAGGGGAAACATTAAACCACTGACCACCACTTAACCATGTAAAGGACCAGCATTGAATAATGCTGTGCAAGCCACAGAGTATCCATTTGAAGATCACTTAAATCAAAAGTGATGTCAAAAGCATGCCATTTTGACCTCTTGTTGCTCCTATGAAAGAAGAGAGAGTTTTGGTGGGGGGAAAGGACATATATAAGATAGCAAGTTTATTACTAAATGGAAGAGAATGACTGTTTTGCCATTAAGCCTTTAGAAATAAATTAACACTCAGTATTTTAATTATTTTAATTTAACCTAGTATTGAATTTTTTCATAATATAAAAAAACTACTGAGAAAGATATACAAATCACCACTATAATCATTTTTGCTTTTTATGTATCTGATAATTTTAGTGACACTAATGAATGTGAAAGAAAAATACATGCCTAAATATTATTGACATGTTATGTCTAAGTTCCAGAATAAATAAGTCACATTCTCAATGTATTTAAATGTGTATACAAACAGAAAGGACTTAAAACTTTAACAAACAATGCTAATGTGCTTTCAGGCTAAATTATCTCAAGGCCCATGGAAAAAATAAAGAGAAATAAGGTGAACTTGCCTGAGAATAGCACCAGCTGCCATTTCTTCCAGGCACGTTGTTCATATGCTTTATTTTTCAGTCCCTCGAAGGGAGTGAGATTGATAATTAAATTCTTCTGTTGATACAGGCAGCAATAATTCAACTAATCCACAATAAAAATGTTTTCAGTTTCTTGAAAGAGAAGATAGGTATGATGAGATATTACAAAGCGGAAATTGTCAAAAAACACCAGATAATGTGCTTGAGTACCAGGTGGCAGATAATCGTGACACTTCTGCTCATCATTGATTCACATTTTCTCTTAAGACGATAATTTGCAAAATGGTGTGTATTTCTTGAAAGATCGGCAGCCTTTCTGTTGTTAACTCTGAGCTACAATGCACATGAGACATGAGGGTTACTCCAGCCATCCTGCCTTCTTTACAGACATATGCTATTCTTCCTGGTAACGTAGCTGTGATACTCCCTCAAAATAACATTTTTGTTACATTTTACTTACCTTGAAGGCGCTGCTAGTTTTCTTTGGCATCTTACATTTTGTTCCCTGTATTTCAAATACAGCTTTTTTCCTTCATGTTGAAAATAATGAGGGCATGTTAGGGTAGAGTAGATCTCTACAGATTACACAGCTGAAGCAATGAAGTGTTTAGTTCGGCGTCACCTGGCTGCCCAGTGCCAAGGTGGGACTTGCGTCTCAGTCTCATGGAAACACTCCCTACTGGTATTAGTTGTGCATCTTTATTATTGATTTGCATACATAAGTGAGGTTTACCAATATAGAGGCTTGGGTACTCAGAGATCAGGATTCCAACATTTTTCTCCTTGATGGGATCCTGCCTCACTCTACTTTTGAGGACGCTATTGAGACTCCATGATTATTGCCTGAAAGAGTAAAATTGATTCATATTTACTTCATTCTTAGTGCCAACTCTATACTTAATACATTATATGCATTTTATCCTTGCAACAACCCAAGCAGTGAGCCCACTGCAGTCCCCACGTACATTTAAGAGCATTTCCAAGAAAGGGACACTGGCTTCTCTTGTGCTTACCCTATGAGAAATGCAGGACAAGAGGCAGGCACCACAGCCGAGATGCAGGTCGGTGTGGATTCTAGCTCTTCAGTCATGGGGGATCTCTCATGTGACATTAAACCAGCTCTCACTTTGCAAATATGTTAGCTCTGGTGCTACGTAGTTGGTCTTGTCATTACGCTGGATCCTCAGAACAACTCCATCTGATCATTTCTTTAGTCCCTAATTTTCAGAGGCGGGCACAGAAGCTCAGGGCATTTGAGTAACTTGCCCCTGGTTACATGGCTCACAGAACTGACATGTGATACTCATTCTTGACTCCACAATGTCAGTTTTTCTACTTTATTACATTGTTTCTCTGTATCTACAGGATTTTTGTGTGTTGTGCTTGTTCTGTGAACAGTAATCACAACAGGAATAGCATCTGTCATGGCATCCAACTTCCTAGGATAAAGCCTTTTTCGTAGGCCACAGTATTCATGAATGAAATACAAAATCGTGATAAAGACAAGTCAGTCCTAAGAAACCTGATTGGTGTTCTAGTGGAAATCTGAAATCTGTATGTATGTTTAGCACAGGATTCTTAATGCTGACCTGATGACTCCATAGGTCTGTGGTCTGCCTGAAATTGTATTCGAAATTGGTGTGTGTGTGTGTATCACCTATATGTGTCCCCAATCCTATTGGAACAAGATATACTTCTTAAAAAAAGTGTTTATAAAAAATAATTTTAAAAGTAGGGCAGTCATTTAAGGATACCTGGAAAGAAATGGCAAAAGACGCATTGACAAGAAAATTTATTGCATTAATCCTTATTATAGTAAATGCCAGAAATGATGCACATACTCACCAAGAGGGTACTGGCTGGAAAAATACCCAATAGAGTAGGTCGTAGCTGTAAATAATGAGTGAAGGACATGTCTATATATTTCTGTGGAATGATGCAGAGGACATATTGTTAAGTGGAAAAGCAGGATGGAAAAAAGATCTTGCAGTATGTTGTCTTTTATCACAGAGAAGGAACTAATAATCTGAATAAGAATTTGTTTATATTAAAAATAGGAAAATAACTATAAAGTTTTAAAAACATGCAATACTTCAGGTAATTGAAATTCTATTAAAGTACTCCCTAAATATCAAAATCAAAATATAACAATTTAACTTAATTATGTAGCAAGTTGTTGGCTTAACCATAACCATCACAGAAGAATTATTTCAAGAGACTTTAAAATTCAGTAATTTGACTGTGCATCTCATATGGAATATATCCAATGGTGAAAATGTTACTAAAGATAATGTGAAACTGTTTACAGCAATGATATCATTATTGATGGATTATTTTGCTTTTCTAGAACTATTAAATATACAATATAAAGATCAACAAAGTGCTAAATGTACTTATGTTGTTAAGAAGATTTTTTTAATGTGTAAGAGAAAGAGATACATGTATAAAATCAAAGAAACTAAGCAACATTTATAATACTAAATTCGAATTGGATAAATTACTGTGGACTAATAAAATATGTTCTATTTAAAATTAAAGTTGAAGAAAATACACAAACAAAAACTCTGTTCATTGATGACTCAATAATAATGGCACCCCCAAACAAACTGCAGCCTCTTCATCCAGTTTTCCTGATAAAATAAGCCAAATCTTCTTGTGTGAAAGGATGAATCCAAGTCTTTAACAAGGAATGTCAAGACAAGCCTGAGACACGTCGTTGAGTCAGAAAGCTAGAAGCCTACCAAAGACTCCTGGGTCCTGTCAAGAGGACTCTGCAGCCAACCTCTCCAAAAGAAACATATGACATTAACAGATCTTTCTTTAAAAAGAGAGAGAGCAGCATGGTTTTCCTACATAAACTCAAATTCAGGACATCCAGACATTTGATGAAGATTACTCTTTCTTAAAAGAATGAATGCAGCTAGTAATTCAAGAAATGAAAGGAAAAAGATATAATTAGAATAGTATCATTCTTTCTTTTTTGACTTTTTGTTTCAAAGATGTGGAACAATTCAGGGTTAGGTAGTTAAGTGGGCATCATACCGGTAAAGTTTGGATACCCTTATTGATGTTATGTGCCCCCCCTCCCTCCCCTGGTAGTGTTCCACTATGCCAATCCCTTTCAGTGTTAAGATAAAAGTTCAGGGTCCATTTATGAGTGAGTACATGTAGTACTCAAATTTTTGTTTCTGTGACAAATCACTGAGTATTTTAGACACTAATTCCATCTAAGTTGCTGCAAAGTTCATAATTTTGTTTTTCTTTATGACTACATAATATTCCATCATGTAAATGTACCACATTTTCTTTATCCAGTCCACTTTCTATAGGCAGGATGGTTGGTTCCATGTTTTTGCTATTATAAATAATGTTGCAATGAACATGCATGTGCAGGTATCTTTTTTATAGAGTGATTTGAGGATTGCTGGGTTGTATGGAAGGTCGACTTTTAGATCTTTTAGAAATAACCTCAATGTTTTCCATAGAGGTTATATTAGTTTACTTTCCCACCAACAGTCTAGAAGCATTCCCTTTTCCCCACATCCTCTCCAGCATCTGTTGTTTTTTGAGTTGGGCATCCTGACTGGAGTTAGGTGGTATCTCATTGTGGTTTTAATTTGCATTTCTTTGATGATTAGTGAGGCTGAGCAGTTTTTCGTGTATCTGTTGGCTGCTCATACGTCTTCTGAGAAGTATCTATTCATATCTTTTGCCCATTTTTTAATAGGGTTGTTTGTTTTTTTCCTTTCGGCACATTTGAGTTCATTATAGATGCTGGATGTTAGGTCTTTGTCAAATTTACAGTTGGCAAATATTTTTTCCCATTCTGTGGCTGTATCCCCACTCTCTTGATGGTTTCTTTTGTGTTGCAGAAGCTTTTCAGTTTGATGAGGTTATTATCATTCTTTCAACAACTAAAGACTTGAAGTCTCAAGGAAGTGGTTGTCAATGGCTGCTAAAATCATTAGGTGGGAAGTTGAGAAGGAACTCTACAGTGGTCAAGGCATCCTGGCAATCCCTGAGCCACAGAAGCTTCTTAACATCAAAGTTCCAGGCATTAGAAGGTATTCTGTGTGCCCAGAGAACTCTGAGCCTAACCAAGTCTCCAGACCCAACTGCCTGATTGCAGCAGGGACAAGGGACAAGGAACACATTCAGTGGCACCATGGAGACGCAATCAGCCAGATCCAGAGTGTGGGAAACTCTGAGAGACAAGCGGATCTGTTCCTCGCCAAGTGAATTCAGACAAAATAGAAGATCAAGGGACTTCAATGCTGAAAGAGCTGTGAAAGTCATATCAGCCAAATGCAATCGGCAGATCTTGTTTCGATTGTAACGTGTCAACTGAAAAAGAAAAAGGAGGAAAACTGGAATTTTGAACATTCATCAGATATTCAGTGTTATTAAGAAAGTATTATAAGTTTTAGGGTAATAATGGTGTGGTGATTATGTTTTTTTTAAGTCATTAATTTGGCGAACCCATAGTGAAGTAGCTTTGAATAAATAATATAAAGTCTGGGAGTCAGTGTTGAGACCAAAAAAGTGAACGAGTGTTCAGGTCCAACGAGATTATGTATATCTTTGAAATTTTCTGTTAAATTTTTTTTTTAAGAACAGGAGAGTGAACTCTGTTACCATGTCGGTATTCCTTTTTGTGTCCATGCACTTTGTCAGGTAATAACAGTAAATCAATGGTAATGGCAAGATCCACACTGAGTTTGCTCACAAGTTTCTGGTAACAACAGTGGCACTCTGATACATGCACCTCTCTGCTTTCAAGACACAGCTCTTGACTTCCTCTCCGTTTGGAGTTTCAAATCCTGTTCTTCATCTTCAAACCAAGATGGATTTTCCTGGAAGTATTTTCTGAGTTATTCAACCTGTCAATTCTTGCATTCATGCTCACTATTTCTTACCTTAAACAGCTATGTCCAAACTGGACTCAGTAGCTCACACCTCCAATCCCAGCACTTTGGGAGACCGAGGCGAGAGGACTGCCTGAGCCCAGGGGTTCAAGAGCAACCTGGACGACTTGGTGAGACCACTTCTCTGCAATAAACCAAAAACTTGTTCAGACATGGTGGCGCGCCTGTAGTTCCGGCTACTTGGAAGACTGAGGCAGAAGGATCACCTGAGCACCGCAGACCGAGGCTGCGGTGGCCATGAGCATGCCACTACCCTCCAGCCTGAGTGACAAAGTGAGACTTTGACTCAAAATAAAAAACCCATGACCAATTGACTGTTAAACACAGAATAGAATAAACAATCACAACAAGCCCATATCTGGCATCTTCCTCCTCCCTTGGTAGCCCAGTTCACAGCCATTGGGAGCTAGCCTCACTCCTGCCTCTGCTTTGGTTTTTTCCTTGGTTCAAGAGGAAGAAATGGATGGATCTTAGGACTAGGAACCTTGTTCTCCACCTCGGGTGAGGGCAAGTGGAACTGGAAGAGAACTGCTGGTTTTCTTCTAGAAAAGAATAGAAGCCGGGCTTGGTGGCTCAGCCTGTAATCCCGCGCCTTTGGGAGGCTGAGGTGAGTGGATTGCCTGAGCCCGCGGGTTCGAGACCTGCCTGGGCAGCAAGACCTCATCTCTACAATAAATCAAAAAATCAGC